GATTAAAAAGGTTGACCTAGAAATATAAACACAATCTAAAAAGTTCAAACTTAACAAAATTCCCATCACGAATTAAAAGGATGGACATAGATTCGCCAAGTCAAAAAGATATGACAAATGCAGCTTATTCCATATAATTAAGATCATATTTTGTCCTAGTTTATGGTAACACAAACTTGAGTAAAAGAGTCAGACCATGATGTCATAATGTGGAAGCCATCTTGGTAGGCAAAATACAAAAATTGCAGGTAAAGATAGTCTCGTATTTAAAGACTACCCAAAGTTTTAATTGATAGCAAGTAGCTGCCATGATTTCAAGGATACTCCACCTGCAATGATTTGGATTCATCCAAAATTATCAAGTAGAAACTGGTTATAGAAATGCATCTAAGCAGTTATAGAACTGCTTAAGCCAATTGGTCATAGCCAAGTATCCAACATGCTCCAATAAAAGGGCAAGAAAAGGCAACAAGAGTAAATGTGATTGGTACCTTTGCAAGCGATCAAACTTTTTGAGAATAATTCTATACATAGGAGCTCCACGTTCAATCACATGCTGCTCCCAGTCAGTCTGAACACCAAAAGGATTCTCCTCCATCCAATCCCTGTCATCCCCATCCACTACTAGTTTACCCTTTCCATAAGTAATGAACAGATGTTTCATTCTCGTTGTAACAGTCTCGATATCAGACTGTAAAAACACCTGCCGCACCACAAAGAGCTGACTCACGGAATGCATTAGATTATCAACACAACAGAACCAGGAAAGTCTACATGTGTTCATCAAAGCACTAGATAATAGTAAAGCAGTGGTTTCCATTTTCAATTGACTGCTTTATTTCTGACTAGAGCACTAGATCATAGTGAAGTAGTGGTTTCCATTTTCAATTGATTGCTTTATTTCTGACTAGGCAAATGCATGGCAATTGTCTTCCTAGTTTTATCAGGTTCATGTTGATCACTGTGAAGAGGCAGTTAATCTAGTGGTGATTAAAAAGGTTGACCTATGAACATAAACACATTCTCAAAAGTTAAAACTTAACAACATGTAGGCAAAAATACAAAGATTGCAGGTAAAGATACTCCAAACATGAAATGTGGAGTGTACCTTTCCATTTGTAATAAGCAGATCCAAGATTGCTTCAACAAGTCCTCTCTGTACCATCCTCCATCTTTGGTCCTCTCTGTTAAAATCAGGATTCGGGCACTAGACAAAAGGATGCTGCTGAGCAAGTTGTATCTCATAAATGTTATCTGCATACTTTGTAAACATGCTATGCACATAATAAGGTAGAATATCCATAAATAAATGGGAATAGCTGAAGATAAGGAATATAAGCCTATGAAGAAATTGAGAATGATTTACGGTGCCACTATCTATTGAAAAACGATGCATATTGGAGTTTTAGAATTAAGTCACATGATAAAGATCACTATCAATTATGGTCAATGAGTTTAATGCATGCAGCAAAGTACCATGTCCAAGGACAAATGGATTTTGTGATGATTATTGAAGAATTATATCACTGCAAATCAAACTAAAAAGCTAAATAAGCACAAATTGGTGTCAGAAACCAACTTAACTCGATTCCATATATTACATAAGATATAAATCAGATCTTGAGAAAACACATAAGCATAGTTAAGTACATTGATTTACATCACAAAAATTTCAAGGACAGAAGCCTATTCTTTGATAGATTGGCAATGAGTACAAAGCGTCAAACATTAATCCAATAAATATGCCATTCATTGAGGCTCCTTGCAATAACTTACCGCTGCTACAATATCCATACCATGGCAGCAGCATTTGGCGATCAGTAAACTCATTTTCTAATTTATTAGTTATTAAGTCTTGCATATAGGCCTACAATGTTGGTTCCCCAATTCTAAAAATTTTACTAACAACGTTTGAGGTAGTGGAACATCATAAAAATTAAATACTGTAGTATACGATGTAACATTTTCATCTTTGCCAATAATCTAATAGACAATTCTACCTCATTAACATGCATTATCAAAGTCTAAACCAATGTTCATCGTACTGCAACATATCACCTGTTATGGGTGG